ATCTCATATTTATCCCTCTCGGATAAGCCAAAGGTACGGGAAAGTCCCGTCAATTGAGAGATTTTGGATGTACTTCGTATACACAAAAAGGGATATTTCCTCTCAAAAGGAAAAAAGAAATCCTGATGACATTATGGAATCATATGGCGTTCACGGCATGTTGCCTCAGTTCGTGAGATGTCCAATATTTCAACACTCGCACTTCCCTTCCGATAAAACCTCACGAGAATCTTTAATAATGAAAATTCTCATCCGATCAAATCCTCACGCGAGACATCATGTTATCTCGTGAGTTCCTCGTAAGAAGTCGTGAGTCTAAATATAGCGATTTTCTTTGAATACAGTCATTCGTGGTCTCTCCTTAGGGAGTACCACATCGAAGAAAAAGAGTTCGCCCATCTTTCTTCAAACTATTTCAGATGGACGACTTCTACAGGAAGTTCATGAAGAAAACTTCAGCAGCTCGGGGGATTGTCAGCTGAACGGACGCAGTGAAAAAGGCTGCATCCATCGACCTAAGCTCTTTCATCGTTAGGTGCCTGTATCCGAACCATAGCATGTTCGTCAGTAAAGTCCTTCTTGCAGACGCTCACTATTTAGAAATTCATTAATAATCTGGATTTGATCGAGTATTCGCAAGCTCTGTCACGATACAACATGTTCGATGCGTGCATTATTTCATGATTGATCGTGCGAGCTGGGATGGAGAGACATATTCATTGTCTGAGCTCCGAATACTCAATGGAAACACGTTTCTAGTTCGAAAAGCTCCACCTTCCGACACACTCTTTCTTCAAAATCCTCACGGTTTCCGTTCACTTGTCAGAACAATCCCCCAGAACCAGTACTCTTCCCCGTTAGAATTAATTCGATGTTAGCGGTGGTACCTCGAATGATAGCGACAACCTAGGCACCTGATATAACCACGTGATAATTAGGATATTTGCTACCTGATTTCCCATTTCTGAGCCAAGAGTCCGCCATTCCCACAACATTTTCCACATGGAAATTAGAAGTCAGATGATGACCCTCGGCGAAAATTATAAAATCGGTTTTTATGCAGATGGAGTGGATGGGATGAATGGAGATGGAGCGCCCTATCATTCCGAAAAATCCTTCAGGATAAACGGAAGTGAGTTGGAGTTTCCTATCCTTGGAAATGACTCTTAAAATTGGTTGAAGCACTGTCCTCCGTCTACCTGAGTTCAGCAGTTGGAGGGTACTGCGGACCTGGTAACAAATGCATCCATCCAGGAGTATGTAATGACGAGACGAAGATGTGCGTATGCATGCAGGGACTCACGGAATACGATGGGAGATGCTAGTAAGTAATTATATAAGTTTTCCTCCAATTTCCTCATGAATTGCTGTATGCATTCTTTCGTGATATATTTGAATGGCGCGATCAGCGTTCCCATCCACGGCCTGTACCTAATATTCGAGATCGGACTTGGAGTGCTGGCACTCGTTTTGCTCCTCACCATCATCGCTTATTCCCACCGGCTGTACAACCTTAGGTGAGAGACGGTGGGGCCATTCCGCTCCAAACCGGTCAGAGGGTGAGCCACTTTTGTTTCATGGGATGAAGTGAATCCATTCGATAACTTTTTTCTGCTAGTAAACAGCGAATAAATGAATATAACCAAGAGGAGGAAGGATTTGTCTGTGAATCAAGCCATCCTAGCTATATTACGCCAACACGATAATTGGATCGTTCTGAAGCGTTGTCTCAATGGAATAATTTCACTGGATCCTCAATTACAAAACCGCATTTAAAAAATAAATTTAAGAATGACTGTGGTATCATCTGCTTAGTTTTAGTTCGACATCTGAAAGAAGGCTGTCTGGACTTTAGTCATACAGCTGCGGGTAGTCTGCAACTTAATCTTCTCCGTAGAATCATTAATGAAGACTGATGAAAGCGCTTGCCTCCTGGGCAGCCATATTGGCACTGCCTTAGTCATAGGTCATTTGCAATAAATCTGTTGTATGGAAATCTTGAATTCGGCTTAAGGAAAGGGCATAAAATGCGCTTTAGACCAACTATTAGGAATTTGATTCTTGAAGGGACAGGTTTAGGTCCCTAAGATTGTCAAACTTCTGTCTGTTCATTGGAATTTTTCTAAGTCGATTTTGAGGCTTGTGTGGAGCATAGTTTGAAAGATGGCAACTTCACAATCAAAACGACACAAGAGTGAATCTTCTGTCTTTATCTGGAAGTACCTCGTTGCAGAAACGCTTCAGTATTTTCGGTTTATGTGGTTTCCAAAAATTAATTCCTTTAAGGGGGGGTTCTTGTACTCCCTTTTAGCTGCTAACGGGCTTTCAGTCCTATACTGGCAATGGACCTAAAAGGTCTTTTAGGGCTAAAAGGGAGTACAAGAACCCACCCTAAATCTTTTGCCGATTCTAATGTAAATCAGAGACGTTAGAGCTCACCCTCTTGCCAATTGGAGTGGATCGGCCAAGTAGCAGTCGCTATTCGAAGATGGACACTTTCACAATTGCCGGTGTACTGGCGAATTGCAGGGCGAGGAGAATAAAGGAAACGAGAGAAATGGAGACCGAGAGAGAAGACAAGCCGCCGTCCTATGAGGATATCCTCAAAGACAGCCCACCACCCCCTTCTTTCCACGAAGTCATCCTGGATAGTCCCATCAAAAATGCTCTCACCCACAAGGATTGACATGTCTGATTCTAAAAAAAACAGCCTCTAATCATTATATGCCGAATATATGTGCAATGTACTGCACAGTTCTAACCAAATAGTTCCTCTTTCCTCCTTCATTTTGGCCTTTTGAGCGTATCCTAGGTCATGGAAGGAATTCTGGAATAAAGAAACAATATTTCTTACAGCACAGTCCAAAAACAGATCTGAGGGAAGGGGAGGAATTTAATTCAGGCCAGGACTATTGTGTAACCCCACGCATAAAAGTCTACCGCTTTGTCGAGACTATTTTCTGTCCAAGCAATAGTCGAAGTTGCATATGCCGCGTACCATTTCAACGCATATGTGATTTTCTCTCAATTATTTTCCCTCTAACTGTAATTTTATCGATAAATCTTGGCGATGAAAATTCACATTTTACCAAGTGACTAAAATTAAACAAAAAGGCCTGATTTTAGTCGAGATGATGATTAAATGTAAATTCGCAGAGTAAAGGAACATTGGCTCTAAAAAAAATCATGCCGCCATAGCCCCTCGTCAGTGTTATATAAAAAATTGCATAGATCGGTTCATGTAGCAAAAGCATCAGTTTCAACTCACTCTTATTGTCCGTAGAAAAGGCTGGAGAGCTATCCTTTGTGCTTGCACTACGTATTAAACCTGTTTTTTTTTTAACATCTCACGGATAAAGCAAACTATTGAGATATTACTCGATCGTGGTCTGGAACCCAATGTTTGAATGGATATACAAAAAATAAAAAATGAAGATCCGAACAAGTAGGGCAGCCCAGGATAAACGAAGAGAAAGCATGAGTCTAGGCAACTGGGGAGGGCAAAAAAAAATAAAAATTAAAAAATATATTTGTCGAAGGCAAGAGGGGTTTAACAAGAATTTGCTGGAGTGGGAAGAGCGCGGGTACGCGTTCTGCTTCTGCCTCGTTTAGACAGAAATCACGTCCACACTTCCACAGAGGCAACACAGGTCTGGACCCTCGGGGCGTGCATGCAGAGGCCGAGCAGATACCAGCTGACGCTCAAGCCTCGGGGCTTTCGTAGATCATGGGACAGGACGAGCGAGAGTAGAGGAAGAATTTCAGGACTCGGTGTCCTGTATTTACACGACGGAAGCGGCAAGAGTGGCGATGATTCCTTCGTGCAGAAAAGACTTCACAGTGGAATGGTTTCAGGCAAACGTGGATCCTGGGATCCTCGCCGTAGATTCTCAGGATCAAGTGCAAGCCGTGGATGGGGAATATTATTCCAGTGAACTCATCCCCATACGAGCGGAGAGGGAAAAGTTCTCAGGACCTCTCTGGTTCTTGGCCAAAGTTCTCCCGACCAATCGTCGCCATGATGATGATGATAGTTATGCAGACTGCTTGAGAAGTCACCAGAGAGAAATCTTCATTTATTCTCATGTCATCCCAAAATTCAATACCTTCCAGCCAGGATTCCCTGTACCCTGGCCGAGAGGCGTTCATTTCGGAAGAATGGAAGGAGATCGCGCACTTCTTCTCCTTCCAGACCTTCGATATGAGGGATATGGACCTGCAGCTGGGCCCTGGCTGAAGCGGGAGGAGATGAAGTGTCTATTGGACGCCCTTGCACGATTCCATGCCTTCTCCTTCCTCCTTTCAGTTTCAAAGAGGCGACACCTCGCCCAATACCTCAGGCAACGAACTGACTGGATCCAGGAAGGATTCCTCCAAAAGATTCATTTTCATGAATCTGTGAAAAATTTCCTACGTTTTATTCAGAGGACATCTCCAGAATTACGACTAACGCTGAGAGACGCTGAGGAGAGAATGTATCAAGTACTGAAGCCTCATCACCCTTTCTCTGTCATCTGTCATGGTGATCTCTGGACAGGAAATGTGCTCTTCAAGGAAAACAAGCCCAGTGAGGCGTTACTTATCGATTTTCAGTCACCCTGCTATGCAAGCTTGGCCACAGATTTGGCTTATGCTTGTGTCATGTGTATCACGTCAGAAATGCGAAGGACATACACACATTCCCTCTTGAGGCACTACTGGTTGGGACTGAAGGGATACGTGAAGCAGCTCCGGCCCTCTATAGGAATTACGTGGACCCTGGCGATGCTAAAAAAAGAATATGGACGCTGCTTTTTCTTTGGTTTTCTCATGGCAATAGTGGAAAGACCTTGTCCATCTCAGGGCTACCCAGAAGACCATCCTATATGTGAAGAAATGAAATCTCTAGCAAAGGAGTTCCTTTGTCTCACAACTTAGGAACATGAGTAAAAAAAATTTATTGCAGGATTCAATCATCTCATCCCCTGAATAATGACAAGGTGGTATCACACTGTATGAGGTCACATTGGGTCATCTGCCTCATACAAAAGCAGCTGAAGTAGAAGAACCAGGATATGGAATGTGAAATACAGTTGAACACAAGGAGGTGCAGAGGACAGACTGAACTTGTGTCCAACCCCGAAATCCATGTTTTCAGCGTGGACATTCCCATCTGAAGTTCTCAAAAGCAAAATCACATTTGTGCCTTGAGCAGTCTCTGGCTGAAAGCTAAAAGTATGCCTCTGCATGAAAAAGCAAGCTCCTGCCTGTAAAAGAAAAAAAAAAGTTCAACATGTTTCAACAGGCAGGTTCTCTCTTAACTCAATGGAATAACAATAAAAGACATTAATAGAACTATAGATATACCTGATAAAATGAAGACATTGGTATAGGAAATATAGAATCTGAGTGTGGTTGAATCCATGCTGCCCATGTTATGTGAGAGCCTTCACCAACATAGGGGAAACAGACTTCAAGAACACCATCATTCCTCAAAATGCTCATTCTACTCTTGCCCACCTTGATGGGAGCTAGGAGAAAATATGAAATCAGACCTATACCTTTAAAATTCATCCTACAGTTAAAGGCATCCCAGTTCAGTGCTTACGACATGTCTGGACCTGAAGAGGAGGTTCTTCAACGATGAAATCCCCTGGGAGTTGAATAGCCTCTTTGGATTTCTCTGTTGACTCCTCTCCAATGTGCTCATTTTCCTTCTCAACATCAACTACAAAGAATAAAAACAATACAAAATCAAGTCTCCTTTCCTCTTATTCCCTTAACCAGGTGATTACAATTTGAAACTGGTCTTTCTGACAAAAAAATTAGGGCTGTTGATTGATTAAAAAGTTTAATAGATTAATTGCAAGTCATTTAATAGATTAATTAGTCAATTAATCAAATTTAAATAGATTCATAAGTTCCTCCCTGAATCATGTCCTAGGCATTGGGCATTCTACTGCTTGTGTCATGTCCAACACCTAGGCAAGCCTCAGGAAGTGACTCAAGGTGATGCAGTTGCTAACATTGCAGTTACCATCTATACATACACTAGTTCAACCTACATGTAACACATTCCAATTGGAGAGAGAATAATTACAACATAGCCAGATGAAAGAAAGAAGCACACTGAGGCCCTTTGCCATTTAGCCAACCCATGCAGGAAGGATGCAAAAATGTAACCTAAATGATTGGAGGTATACAGTGACATTTCATTACACAGAGATTTAAAGATTCATTATCAATTCACGGGCAACACAGGATGGAAGAGCAAGGAATAAGAGAGGGTTTCACACTTTTGTTTCCTCTTCTCTTGCCCACTCCCAGCTTTCCCCCTCACCCAGTTACTTCCTGGGGGCTCCCACAGACCTTCACCGGCACACTTACACGTATGCCCCTCACTCCCCAGTCTTTACATTGTCCTCTTTCCTGCCCCTCCTGTCCCTGTCTAACTCCCCTATTCCATCTGTGCATTCCCTTGCAGCTCCATCATTACAACTTTCTTTTCCTCATTCACATCCAGTGGCTTTTAGGGTCACTCTAGGTTACTGCTACCTTTGTCTGATGAGTGAGGCCTGCAAGGCTATACAGGATGCACACCAGTATGTTTGTGGATGCAAATGGGTCAGGAAGCTTCTTTTTTGGAATAGCCTGAAAGTGATTGCTCTGTTCTGGTGTGTGCCCTATTTCCGAAAAGAGTAAGTCATTTTTGAGGAAGAGTGATCAGAGCAAAAAACAACTACATTCTATAAGCAATCATTTCATTTCATTCCCTTGATAAAGCATTTGTTTCTGGTTGTATTGCAAAACTATGAACTACACAGACAAAATTATACGGGGAAAAGGAGGCATTCAGGGGAAGATTGGGAGTAATTAAAATTGGATTAATTTGAACTAATTTTAAAACCACAATTAATACTTTAATCAATTAATCTGTTGATTAATAGAATTGTAATGTTGAAAGATCCCATGATCTTCAGCTCTAGTCCAAGGGTTCATCAGTCCCATCAAAATGCATGAATGTGTGACAAAAAATAATAAAGAAGCAACTAGAATCACCTCTTAAGCATCATGTTTAAAGGTGCATTTGTGCCCTCTAATAGTAACCTGTCCTAGATTAGAGTGAGGCTGTATGCTAAGCAATAGTCCCAAAATGATCAAATGAAAAAAAAAGTGGGAAAGTTCATTCTAGTTGTGGCTCTGTTTCAATGATTGTTGGGAGCAGTAGGATTATGGATAAGGTGGGTGGAGGTTGGGAGAAAGGAGAGTATAGCATGTACTAGGTGTTGCACATAGATAGCTTCCCCCCTTCCACAGTCTAAAAATTGTTTTTAATGCAAATAATACCAAAACTTAGCATGTACTTAGCCCACATCTATTGTACCAAATATCAAAGTGATCAGGTCAAAGCATTTTGAGTGAAGATGCAACTGAAGATATTGACAGGAAAGGACACTAAGTGGCCTCTTTCCTTAATGGTAAGATGAAAAGAAAAAGAGGTCACTCTACTACATATCTCAATGTGGCAGCAGGCCTTGATGACTTAACCCAGATATGCCTGGTATGCTATATGTAGGACAGTGTGCAGAGATGCACATGAAAATTTATCCAAAGGTTCACATGTCAGTCATACTATCTCATCTCATCTAATGTCATCATAACTGACATGCGAACCTTTAGAGAATTTTTCATGTGCATCTCTGCACAGTCCTACATATAGAACTCCAGACATATCTGGGTTAATAGACTATCTGACAGCTGACCTGGCATGATGTTAAGAAGATAACCAAGAGATGAGAAATTCCCAAGTGCATGAGAAGTCATGCACTTGTACCATCCTGAGTCATCTGGTACCACAGCATCAAAGTACAGCAGTCCATTTTCACCTCTCACTTCTTCACCTACAGAGTAAAAGAACAGAATTAGCCAGTTGCCAGAGTGAGTAATTTTTTCCCAGATGGGAGATCAGATGTATTATTCAACTGACGAGAATGAGATGACTTAATCCACAATGGAGTGCTCACTGGATTTGCATCCACTTCACAATTGAGAGAAACTTTCATTCCTTCAAATAGTGGGTGGCCAAATTCTGGTTCTCGGGATATGAGGAACTCTGGGAAATCTGGAGACAGGAATATTCATTAAAGATATTTCCAAAGAAAACTTGGAAAAAGAAAGAAGGTTCCAACTAAACCCACATAAAACATCTAGAGAGACTGTACTGTCCTGGAAATTTATTGGAGAAAAGCAAGAGAGACTCTGGCCATGGCGATTTCGAGATACATTAACTGTCAATTTGGAATAAATCACAGGGATGCCTGTCCCCTGAACTTTCAGCTGTACATTTTCTCCTGTGTTTTCAGGATGGGAAGAGTCACTCCATCTCCATCTGACATCAGATCCCAATGTCAAGCAATGCACATGTATCACACTGTGCTCTTCCACATGTATAACTGTCTCTGAGGAAGTTTCTTCCAAGGAATCTGCCATTTCCACATAAATCACAGGTTTTGCTTTCACTATTTCACTCTCATCAGGAGCTGGAATGAAAATGAAACCAGACAATTACTGGACTCCATTCCAAATCGAATAGGTTTATCATATGAATGACTCATCCATACCAGGAAACATATAAACATATCCATTTGACCCTTTGCATTCTGCCTTTTTTGCATTGTCAACAGTCTGCCATTTAATGTTTGATCCATTTGAAATGAATGGAGAGCAAGGAAGGCTGAGATTGTATCCTTTGGGTGCCACAATAATGCTAGAAGTCTTGTCTGGCAAGACTGACATCTTCGCACCAACACCTAAAGATGTAAACAAGTCAAATTAGTATATATGATGGCATGAATGGCTGGAATTTGGCAAATTCAAGATGAAAATCAGATTAGGTTTAAAGGAAGAAATTCAGCAGGAAGCACAACACAACAACCACGAGAAAAATTAGTGTGCTGGATTTTTACAAAGCATAGAGAATGCTTTCACAGAGAACATGATTACCTATGGCCAGGTGGAAAAACTGGGAGCAATTTCTACCACCTGTACCAACTATGAACAATATAAGACTATATATAGGACAATATAGGACCTCCCTTCTCATTCTGCTTTTTCAGCCAGCATGCTTGTCTCTTTCCAAGCATATGACATGTAGTCAGACATATGGCATGGAGTCTGACAGTACTTCTTATATTGCTCACGTTCTTTTAACACGTTTGCTGCCGATGACGAACCTCATCATTATCCTTTCTATAGAAACAAGTATCATCGGCAGTGAACGTGTTACTGACGCTACATGTAGACCATTGCTTTATACAAAACATCCTGGAATTATGCGTAAAATTTGTACTTCTCCATAATTTCAAGAGAGGCCTATTGAAGTGCACACCACCTCTCCCTTGGCATATGTACTTTATAAGTGATTTACTTGCTTTTCCAGTTTGTTGGACTATCTGCCATCTTGCAACTTGTTGCTTGATTGCTTTGGAATTTGAAGCCATTATTACTTGGGTGTGCATTCCTCACAGCAGTGCCTACCTTGCACCTAAGCCCATGATGTCTCTTCTTGTCTACAGGGCTGTTAAGGAGCTGGAATTAGCATGGATGAGACTATATCAAGAGGATGAAATTAAAGCATAAGGTAAGAGATGTGCAATGTTGATGTATTGGGTTGGAAAGAAAGTCTTGCAACACTCTGCACAAATTTTTCAAAATGTTATAACTTTATTGAAATGCAATTTCAGTCTACTATGTAATGACCATTGTTGTCTATGACATGTTCCCAACGCATGGGTAACTGCTCGATGCCCTTTGCCCAGAACTCTGGCGATTGTGAAGCGAAGAAACGGCCGACATCATTTTCAAGCTGTGCTCAATCATCAAAGGCCTTGTCCCGCAGGTGATTCTCGAGGGCACGGAACAAGTGATAGTCGGAAGGGGCCAAGTCCGGAGAATACGCTGGATGGGGTAAAACTTCCCAGCCCAGTTCTGAAATCGTCTGGCGAGTCATCTTCGCAACATGTGGACGAGCGTTGTCATGCAGAAGGAAAACTTTGTCACGTTTGGGACGCTCTTTTTGAATGACGCCAGCCAACTTCTGAAGTTGAGCAGCGTAGATGACGGCAGTCACGGTGGTACCGGTTGGCAGGAGCTCATAGTACAACATTCCTTCTGAATCCCACCGACAGCAGAGAAGAACCACCTTCTCATGGAACCCTGGTTTCGGTTTGTGTGGCGGCAATTCTCCTTGTGGAAGCCACTGACTCTTGCGAGTATGGTTGACGTCGAGGACCCAGCTCTCATCTCCAGTAACGATTTCCTTCAGAAGGTCCTTTCTGTGCGGACGAAGGAGCAGTGATTCGCAGACACTGACACGGCTTCCTTTGTCAGAGTCACTGAGCTGATGAGGGACCCATGTCGAGTAAACCTTCCGATAGCCGAGGTCATTCAGATGGTTGCTGATGGCCATATGGGTGACTCCAAGTGTAGTCGCCAATTCATGAGTGGTGGTGTTCGGCTTCACGTTGAGGGCGTTCTGCAGGGCTTCGTCAGAAAGTGTTGCAAGACTTTCTTTCCAACCCAATACAAGCAAGGTTTGTTGGTTCTGCTGTCACTTAGTTTAGACTTAAGTACTGTGACAGGTATGTTTATATCTTAGGGTGAAATATACACAAAAGCCTTAGTCTCCAACAGTTGGAGGCAAGATGCTGGCAGATAAACCTTACAGTTCATCACATATCAATATACGTTTCACTGGCCAGCATGTCAAGATGGCATACCCTTTCTGCCTGGAGTAGTACAACTTAATGTGGAGCCTGTACCATTTTGGAGGCTTACGCTATTGTCCACAGGCTCATTGTTAGCTCCTTACATTCAAGTCTCCATGGTATATCTACTAATGACATTCATCTGGGGTATAGCAAGTGGGAGTGATTATGTGTTTAATTATGGTTTGTGAGTATTCTATTCAGAGTTTTAATTTGTGGAATAGAACACCTCTTGCAATCTTACTGGCAGGACCAAAAATAAAAGGAACTTTTAATTTTTTTAAACCACTATATGATTTCCATGCACTATTTCATGAAAAATACAGCTATACAGCTGACATTGCGCCTATACAGTAAGCCTGTTGAGACATGCAGACATGTACACCATGTTACCATAGGCATAGGGAAGAGAGGCTTACTCATGCAGTCATTTCAGTGGCATAGGTGGATCAAAGATAAACGTGAATGATTGAAAGACAAATCATGATCCAAATGGCACTTACTATTGAAAAGTATGCCTTTCAAAACAGGATATGTGACAGGGGTAGTCTTACCTAACTGAACTTAAAATGTCACATTCCACGATGATCAAGATGCAGCACGTTTCAATTTAATGAGTCAAACCTATGAGCTGTATCCTAAGGACTGGCGATGGCAAGTGCACACAATCATGCAGAATCCCACGAGCAAGCATATTAGAACATAACCTAGACATGAGGTCAACAACAAAAGAGATCTGTATCAATTACAGTTCAACTTTTCTGACATCAATTTGGATACTTTCTCAATCTACTACTTATATACCTAGATCTACATTAGCATATACAGTCAACTCCACTCATTAGAACACCCCTTAATGAAATATCACAGTAGAGTCCTGATTTTTTTAATGATAAAATACACACTGAAAAACATCACATAAAGGAATAAAAGGAAGAATATGACAAAAAACAAAAGTGACCCTCCCATCTCACATATTCACCACTCATTATAGTCACTAAAATCCTATAGTTCAAACCATTTGTCTTGGTATCTCTATGCTGCTTTCCTGCTCTACCTGCTTTCCATGTTCACTGATGACAGGGCTCAGGCTGAACTTCCCAACAGCTCCTTCATAAGCCTGAAATTATCGCCGCTAAGTCCCCATATTCTACAATCCACTTTTAAAATGTTATATTCTACCCTTAACATTGACTTCCAGGCAACATGCCAGTATGTCACTATGAACGAGAACTTTACCTTTTGAACCATAAGAAAGTTTGAAAAGCTTAGCAAAACGTAACCAGTTATCATTTACCCTCGCCAACTTCACCTCATCCATGGGAACCATTACACTTACCTAACATTAAGCTTAGGCTAATGTCAACTGCACAGACTGACCTGGACAAATAAGCAGAAGTGCGAGAGAGAATACAGCCATAAAGCCGGTTTGGGGACATTCTTGCCCCATTCATTCAGTTACATCGACCGCCAGGCTTATCAGGGCCAGATCCTCGCCTATTCATGGATTCAGACATGGCTTCATGCTGGGTTGCGCCAACCTAGTCCTCGGCATAAAAAGGCTCACAGATCTAGAATAAAGCACGATCCCTACGATCGAGTGCAAGTCGCCATGTTGTTTCTCATTGTGAGACATCTCCCTTCTCTTGGAGATGCTATGTCTGACATGACAGGTGGATTCGTCACTGCTTTCACTGATTTCCTGCAAGAACTTCATTTAAAATTTAGACCGATGGCCGTGGATACAGAGAAGGCCAAGCGGCTCCCTCTGAGAAAGTGTCCTGGGACTTGAGCGGCCCCTAGATATTCTTTGGATCGCTTGTTGCTCTCCTACACATTGAACGCGATGCAGAAGAACGGACCGAGCAAAGAGAAAAGTTTCGGGAACGTTCTAGCAGTATCAATTCAGTGTCTTCGGTTCCCAAGACAAGCAGTTTGTCTTACACTTTTGCCTGTTCCAGGTTGATCCTCTTGACTGCAAACCGGTGTCCCCTCCTCAAAACTCGATGTGTATGACACCCGATTTCGAATGAACTCCGTCAATCAAAGCTGTTCGTGCACGGAGGCAGCAAGACAACCTGAGGTCAATGAGCAAAAAAAATGCTGCACCGTCGCCGTTCGCCAGGTGTTGGATTGTAACCATAATAGAAATGAATCTCATCGTCGAAGTTTGAGAAATACCTCCAGGAGCTAGTGAGAAAGACGTGCATGACAAATTATGGACAGGCACGCCCAGAGGTTTCCAGAGGCCCGAATCGAAACTAAACCGGAGGCCCCTTTGAGGTCTTTAGATACGCAAGGCCCGGAGCAGATTATCCCCCCCCCCCCTTCCCCCGGGCGGGCCTGATCTTATGGTCACCAGGCGAATCAGTTCGAGGCAATATGGATAATGCTGACATCAAAAACCAGTCTCCACACCAGAGGTTTTTCTTCCCATCCTTGAGAAATTCCTGGCCGCAGTTGCTCCCAGTGGCGTAGCGAGGGGGGAGCTGGGGGGGGGGGGGCTTCAGCCCCCCCAACTCTGGTCAAAATGCATCCCCCCCCCCCCCCCTCCCGCCGGCGAGAAGTGAGGATAGCCCCCCATTGGCTTATAGATAGCTAGATAACCCCCCCCCCCCTGGCTACGCTACTGGTTGCTCCTATCAAAATCCTAACGAACAAGGTCACTCTGCTTTGTTGCAGCCGACATTCATACCACTCATTGCATCTGCAGCATCGTCTATTCTCGAGGCACATTTAATGAAACCTGTTTCGCGGAGTTGTTTCTCAAGAATTGGTCAGAAATCATTGGCATGGACGTGCATTTAAGAACATATCCATGATTTCCTGAAATACTTTCCGCAGTTAGTCCAGAATTCTCGTCACATTCTTGCTGCTCTATGAATATGAAGCAACCTACGTCTCTTACAGCTAATATATTTGAATATTTTTGGCAGTTATTCGTCCAGGGTTTCCTAAGAATCATCGCCTATTTCCGCGTCAGAAGCTCCGCACGTAGTTTCCAGCACAAATACAGGAATTCCTGAATTCTCGCAGTTGATCCTGAATTCGCGGGACATTCATACTTCCCATTAAATCTTAGGCATTGGAACTCTAACGAAGCACATCACATTTTCATGAATCCTGTTACAGGGAGTATGTTCTCCCAGAATTGTCGAAGAACCTTAACCATTTCATAAACTTCAGACGTAGAATCAGATATTGCAAGATTTCAAGATTTCCTGAAACAAGACAAGGCAGAATTCAAGAGATTTATAATAATGCGTGATTTTGAAGGATTCTAACTATTGAGTCATATCCATCCGGCTCTCTCTTCGTCAGTTTCATTGGGCCTAGGAGCGGCCCGTGAAGCAGCATTTCGTGCTCGTTTTTCTGCTCTTTCATCGGCTGACTATAATGAATGGTTTAAGAACGGTTTAAACCTTCCTGCCGTTTCCTTCCATTTTCAGAGCAACACCAACATTCAAAATAATAATACATAACACAAACCGAATCCTGCAGACTTACGGGAAAGAACTGTTGCAAACCGGCGACTGGACTGGTGACATGAAAAAACCAAAAGATCATTGCCGGCAGTTGCCATAGCAACAACGTCCTCGGTCGACAATGCCTCATATTCATTGTTACTTGTGAACACCTCGTCCAAGAAGGCATTCAATACGATGCTATTTTTATTGCTGAAACCCAATCACGCAAAAATGGCAAGACTTTCGGCCCATTAAGCATCGCCTCCAGGTCATAAGCTTCTCTTGACACGCATGATATTCAGATGAGACCCGCCGAACGAATTTAGAACTTCCAGGAATTAGATGGAGAATCAGATTATTCACGTCATCAGAGACTCCCTATTTCCCTTATACAGAAATTTCCAGGGCATTTCATCTCGTAGCATACGAGAGACGCAAATTTCAAAATTCAAACTGACATACTTTCGATCGAAAATAGTGGATGAATTCCGTCATGAGGGAAGCTCCAATCGCCAGTGTGCAAATTTTCAGCGAGTTCCATCTCCGTAGCCTTCGAGTAAGACCCGTCGTTCTAGTTTCGGACCTCTTGGTATTCGATGAATCCATAGGGGATGATTTTAGGCTCTTCGGGGATGCGGATCGATCTGATCCGCGCGACGAGCTTGAGAGTCGCTTCATGAGAGACCTTAAATTCTGAAGATTAGAAGCCTAAAGGGGCTGGAAACCTGCCCGATCTGCCCGTCACTTTTCGCGGGTCGGGCCTGCAAGGCTCGGTCGACAGTCGAGTTTCGGGCAAGTGCAGGACATCAAAATGGTAATACTTTTTGCACTTTTGACCCAATAAGTATCGCCTCCAGGTCATATGCTTTCGATTGGCACCTCAATCATGAAAATCCGTTCATCCATCTTAGAAGATTTTCCCGGGATGACGCACTGACAGATGTATATGGAATATGGATAGATGGAAAGGATGTAGTTTTCAGCGCATATCCCAGGACTTTCTGAAGCGTTCTACCTTATCCAGAATCTTCGTTAGTGACATCCATACTACTCATTGAATTTGAAGTATCGTAATTCTATCGAAGCACATTTTCATAAAGCTTATTACATGGAGTTATTTTTACGGAGGAGTCCAAGATGGCTGCAACCAGTGTGTGTGCTTTTCTGTCTCTCCGGTTTTTAAGGGTTTTTCTCCCATTTTTTTCATATTGGATTAGCCCCATTTTTGTACGATTCTTCTCCTTCTCTCATTCTATTTTGAATATGCTAATTTTGTTTATTTATTCCTTGGTCACATAGGGTAGTTTAATGTGTTCTGCCTGGTAGCTTTGACCCACTCGACCCCGAGTACAGCTGGCTTGATCGCGTGACCTTGAATTTTCACCACCCCTCCGACGAGCCCTTCCCCCGTGGAGGGATGACCTTGAGCTCTAGCGCACTCGTTCGTACGGTCGGCCGTGCTTTCGAATAGCCTTCAGCTATGTCTCACGTCTTCCAAGTAAGAATGCTGTCGTTTTTTGAGCGATCGAGAATTCTTCCTCGGAGAAACACATTGAGGCAATCATTAAGGAAGTTCCTGCGAATTCGATCTGCTACGCTAGTCACATTTCCAACGGATGGATCTGCCTCTATTATGATTCTTGAATCAGTAAGCACACTCGTTCCTGTCGGCATTTTTTGTTTTGAATTGTTTCCTCACCAAAGTCCGTCATCTCGATCTCCTCTCTAGGAAACTGGTTTTGCCCAATGTCTCTCCTGAACTCCCCGATTCTCTTCTCGGAAGTCCCTCCCCTCCCGGGAAAAAAGGGTGGCATTTAATCGTCACGGGTACCTCCTTGCGTAATCCTTCCCTTTTGCACATGGAGTCCTTTCAAAGGTATATTTTTCTTTCGGCCAACTTTCGGCCGTGACATTTCAAATCTCCCTAACTCCTCCCGCGGCGAAAATTCAGTCAATCGTTGCTACGGAGCGTCTCAGAGTCTCTGAATCAGATGGTGTTCTCTGATTTGACATTAGACAAACGATTTCAGAGAAAGCACGTAACGAATCGGAGATAGTGCTCCAGATGACTGAAAATTTTCTGATTAGAACTTAAAAAGCGCTCCCCTGAATAATTTGCTTTTATGGAGTAAGGGTGATTTGAAATTGGGCGGCCGCTTTCCACTCGTAAAAATACCCACCCATCTTCAATTCCAACTTCTTTTGAGAATCATAATTATCGGATTTCCATAACCCGTAGATTTCATCTGTTCTCGTGACTGGCGATGCATAACGTGCTTGCCCATCCCTGGCGACCGTCCCTCTAGAAGATGCTGATTTATTTGATCAAGACTGCAATTCCTCCTCTTCGGCTCCTGCCTCTCCCCAAGATGGGGAAGCCATTCTGGTCTCCTCTGTTACCAATGAAGCCGATCCCTCTTCTGCATCTGGTGCATCACTGGTGTAGAGGGAGGCGAAGAACAGCCTTCACGAGCAAAAACTCCTCGTGAGTCTATCTCTCCTTCTCATGAGGCTACCAGTAATGTAATGGATGGATGTAATGGAGGGCTCGTGTGCTCCCGAATCTGGTGAGCCATATATTTCAGATAGGGGAAAGCAACAAAACTCGAACTATTTTCCTTCCGTTTATCATGTCGAGCGTTTGTCGGAGTCCGTAAGGGTCAGCCCAGAGACATGGTAAATATACCTAGACTGGACAGGCCAATGGCGAACGCCAGGCAGCCACACGCCGATTAGAAGGGTCAGCCGCCATCGCTCATGGCGTCAAATCGACCAATAAACGCATAGCTTTTCCATTCATAACGTCACACTGCACTGACAAGTGAGTTTTGACGCTCTCCACGACCAGGTAGGCCTAGGCCTACCCGGTCTTCATTGACAAAGTAAGGTATTTTGACAATTGATTAATGCTACCTGTACCGTCTTTATTTTCATTGCACTCAGTAACGAGAGGGTGCATCATCAGTTTCCCATGCAGTTAGGCTCAGGGTCAACATGAGGATTTGAAAATTCCGCCACACCTAAGGTTAGACCCCGCAAAAGGGTCAATAGTAATCAAACCCGATTCATCATTGTAAGACGTGATACCCAACCCAGTCAGTGGTCTTTCACAGCATCCGAATCCTGAACACACTGACCATGACTACCCAGCGCCTCATTGAATCCCAGGCCTCATGTCTCCTTGACGCCATCAGTAATGGCCGCCAGCCCTTCAAATCGGCGTGAGATCTTCGACCGCCATGTCCAGTCTAGGTATATTTACCATGTCTCTGGACCAGCCCAAGGGGACGACCATGTTGTTTCGCTCTCTCTGAAACCACCTGCTTTCAAGGGTCAAGTCATGGTAGGAATAAATCCTCAATGACAAAAGAAACGGGTATGTAGGTCCAAATGAACCATGCGGTAATCGGAAATATTGCAACTTGACTCGTACGGCTCCTCACTGACTCGAACGTGGAATTTCTTCATCTTGTGGGCGAGGCCGCCGAATGGGATCGCGTGATCTCCGTGTACGTAAGAGGGCGCTATTATGTACGGACTGACTCCAATTAGATAAGTACCGGTGAGATTCGGAAGGACTAGGCTGTTCAGCAACAATAACAATGGATATATTGAATGTATACAACTCACTCGTCTCGCCTCCACCCCCTTGTCCCGGTCGGGGGGAGGTCTCTTGGAGGTGGGAGGTGTCCGGTAGGTGGTGACTCCTCCTCCACTCCTTGGTGAGGTCCGCCGCTAAGCCCACAATCTCTACCCGTAATCTGTACGGCCAGCCTCAGGTGCCCTTGTGATTAATGTCTGCGGGATCTGTTCGGATATTCCTTGACCATCCATTTGGTAATATTGGAATAAAGATGTTTTATTATTTAATCTGTAGGGTGCCTCAAACATAAACTCTAAAAAATAATGGTTCGGACGAGAATCCCTAGTTGGTTGTACGCTTTCAGAGCGGTCTTCGGTTATAGAGAAAACATTTGAAATGATATTAAGCTCACTTCAATAAGTATTTGATGTACCGACTCATGATAACAACTCTATAGTTCTTGAACTACTGTATTAAGGAGGGGCTCTGTACGAGTCTACGAGGGTTGGTAGAAAAGTTTTCCGCCTATCTGGAAATCGGGTGTTCAATAAAGTCCAGAACATTTTTTTAGAGTTAAACTATAATAGTTACTGACTATTTTTAAATTGTAATAAGTTCTGTCATTTTTGGACTAGTACAATGGTTTTTGGGTCGAAAGAAAGAGAATTCAATAGGGTATTTTGATATCACCAACTGGCGTCGTCACTTCGCTCGTAAACCAAGGTCTAATGACCTGGTTAAAATACGGCATGGTACGATATGACACGGGAGTCAACTGCGAGAGAGAGAGAGAGAAGCAAAATGGACAAAACAGTCTTCCTCACATATCCGAAGGTACCATATTGGATCCACTCAAAACACTGGTAAATGACCGAACGATTTATGGGGTTGGGCTAACGCACAAAACTGGTGGAACCTATGCGCCAGGTGTTCGGGGGTCAAATTCTTCTTGACCTTCTCCCAGTCCCTTCGATAATGCGGAACGTGAAGTCGACCGTGTCGCATGGGATTTTGTCCTGCATCAGCACAGCCTTTTCTTGGCCTGCGGAGATCGACCGGGTCGTAACTTGAAGATGAACATGATGTTCATAATGTAGCAAGCATAGCATATCGTCGAATGAAGATTATTTTGCTCTATCTCCACAGAGTATAGTTTTGAGAAAAGAGCAAAAACAACTTCCGAATTCCATTACATGAATACTACTGAAGCCTTATGAACGCAGTAATGCATATATTCATCATTTCCCTTCCAGCGTTCAATCATGTATGATCTTTCGTGTATGAACAATGAAATTCATTAGATTGGACTTAAGAACAAAATTATCCCGAGGATCAAAGCAAAACGAGAGTGCTATAATGTTCTATCTCCAGGAACTGTTTTATTCATGAACATGTGTGCGAAAAAGGATAAGTAAACCCTTTCAGCAAACAAAAAGTAAATACTTTGATTCACGAGACATCAGAAGACCAGTGGCGGCTCGTGGTTCCTGCTGTAGGGTAGGCCAGTGACGTAGCCAGGGAAGGGGGGCTGTCCTGGCTCCCACCCCCTTTCCCCCAAGCTTACACAAGGTTTTTAGGCTCTCATAGGACTTCATTGACCCTCTGAAAAATGAGACTCTCGCTACACTATTGGGTTAAGCCCAGGATGCCAAGAAAATAAGTGTGACGGAAATCCGGAAGAGGATTTTTTAGCGTGCGTCTTGGACGAAGTGGAACGCTCTGACTGCCAAGTGTAGAGGGCGCCCTAAGCGAATTTAGTTTTCTCAGGACAAGTCGAACCTTAGCTGAGAGAGTCGTTCATTTACATGTCGCCGGGAGAGCAGTCCTAGCAATCTTCGCTCTGCCACTTCAACATGTTGGGCTTCGTCTGACTGAGGCCTGTTACCGAATTGCCCGTTTTTTGAGATATCTTTATTCCCTTCTTTCCTGCAACTATCATTGCTCTGAAGTGCTTCTGAAATATTAATTTAAAGTTTATTAATGGTGTCAGTTATACTCTTATTCATATTTTTAGAAGTTAATTTCTCGATTAGCTTAAACGAAGAATTTTAATTCCATCAACTGGCCATTGGTTCGGTTCCGGACCAATTGTCTTTGAATCGTCCCTCTCTGAGCCTCCCATTTCTCAAGTTTTCGTACCCAGACCTTACGAGTTTTCCCCCCGTCTTTGTGCAAAATTCGGAGATTGGCGTGAGCCTTTCGTTCTCGAAAATTTCTTGCCTCTTTGCATCGCTTCCTGAAGAAAAACTAAGTTCTAGGTCAGCAATGATGTCTCCCATTTCTATTATTTTGCGTTTGTGAAGCCTATAACACGGTAAAAATATGACTATCACCGCTTTCACATCACACTTCACTTGATGGTAGAAAACGTGTGCAAGTCAATGAGTTCTTGCTTATAGCTCGTATATTCTAGTATTTAAAATTTTCCTCTCACATTCAGACTTATATTGATATATAATGTATAACTATATTAATGCAATACCTGTACTTAAAAATATATACAGCCATGCTCGCAGATATGATTGGTAAGGGAAACGTGACAGCAGCTGCATGAACCCCATTGCACAAATCACTGCCAGGGGGGAGTAGGAGAAAAGAAAAATTTTGGAAGCGAGAGATCTGAAGGAATAAAATACCTGCGCGAGCTGTGGTGCTGGAAAAACAGCTGAACAAGACTGAAAAACTAGCTTTGCAGGATTCTAATTTCATCGGAGTGGAAGGAGTAGGGCGTGGAAGAATATCTGGCAATGCTGCATAGATTTGGCAACGTAGCACTCAGGCCTCTTCTCTCCGGCCTTAAAGGCCCATTTACATTGTCCTTCGGCGAGGCCTCGCCGAAGGTGCAGCGCAGACCAGTCTGAACGCGCCCATAGAAAAGAACGGAACGAATGTCTACGCCGAAGCAACGCCGCAGCTGCGGCGCACCTACGCAAGGAGTTCGAAGGAGCCAAATTTTTGTTACGGATAGCCAATGAGGAGTTGTCGACGTACTTACGGATAGCCAATAGGAACGCCGATTGATATGGCGGCCAGCACGAGCTCTGAAAACCGGAATCAGCCTAGTCTATATGATTGGCTTGTGTAGTCGCTTATGGTCTCAAAAATGCCCTTCCAACAAATATCTTATCGTCATTTCAATACCAGGTCTACCACCGGTTTGTGTGATAGGCGTAGCTCGCCTAGTCCTTGTCAAGAAAAGCTGGATACACAAAGACCTGTTGAGGTCGGCCT